CTGGGGGAGTTACTTCTCCACAGTGCGAACAATGCTCTGAAAGGGCAGGACCGCGAGGCATGAAGCCTGAGCTTTACTTAAATTCCAGGGGAAGGGATCACGTAAGTGGAGGTCGTGCCTGGCACATAGTAACAGGCTTAAATATCAAGTCAACCCATCCGCCTGAATAGACGCCCCTGCGAGTCCTCATTAACACCTCTGGTGTTCTAAACACAGGCTGGAGGGTGATGAAGGAAAAGAGACGGGTGGATAATTATTATTATGTTATCAGTTTGGGATTTAAAGATTCTCCAGTTGGCAAAGCTTAATTTTGGGAATCCAAATCACCAGCAAAGAAAGGAATAAAGGCAGAGATATTTGAAAAACAAAGAAAAACAACAACAAAAAAACAATGAAACTATTTTTCCTCCATAAAAGGCCTATTCTCTTCACATAGGAGGGACTTATTGACTGTGTGGTTTTTGGGTCCGTTGACGTGGTAACAGCATTAGTGGTGGGCTTACTACCACTTACTTAAAAATTCATTTAAAAATAAAAATAAAGTATTTGACCATCTTTTGGTTAAAGAGCAATATGACTAAATTCTAATGGAACTACAATTTTCTAAAATTGTCTTCCAATTATATACCTTATACTTGACCTATGAAAAAACTACTTATCAAGATTATCGAAAACTTTCTGTAAAGATACAAACTTTGTCTAGAATACTTTTTATCCTAAAGCCGCATTTAAAATTGCTCACAAATCATTCACTATGGAAGAAGCTCCTAAAATTGTATTCTATTCATACAATAGAGAGGCTATGTTCAGACTATTTTTATCTGCAAATTCTATGCCAGGTTCCACGAAGAAGCATGGTTTCACACTAGAGTGCTCATAAAGATTGCTAAGCAAGCCACTGTCAAAGAGCTTTAGAATTCATCTGGTCCAAATTCTTTCAGAGTTGGAAATGAAATCAGTTTGAATTCATCAGAAAAGAACTATATATTCTTAATTCTTTCTTGCCTTGTTTTAACATGGCATTCCATTAACGATCCTATCTGATCATCTATCAGTATGCATTTTCCTGATAATATTACGTATGTCTGTCTCAATTGTGCGTGGTTTAAATCGACCTTACTATTTAAGTTCTATCATGGTACATTTCTGCTTTGCTCTCACTGACTTTTCTGAGTATTTGCACGTTCATAGGCTTACCTCAGATAGAAGGGCAGTCTAGCATGGGGTTAAGAATACAGACAGTGGCACGAGGCTCCCTGCATTGCAATCCCCATTCTGTATTTACCTAGCACTGTGATCTTGACCAGGTTACTTAATTGTTTTCAATATTAGTTTATTTATAAAATGAGGATAATACCATAGGGTTATTGTTAGGTAACATGCAAACTGCCTAGCAAATGATGAACTGATAAACTATATATAGAAGTATTTAGACTAGTAATAGTAATAATAATAATAGTGTTGGCAAGAATACTTTGGGGATCCCAGCAGGAAGGAAGAGGTTTTATTATACACTGGAATAATGCCTATCATAACCTCAAGGGTACATACCTTTGGTAACAGTGGTAATATGTAAAAATAATTGAATGATAAAAAATATGGCTGCAGGGAGAACCTTTGAATATTGTTCACTTATTTTGTTCTATAATAATGGCATCAAAGTGCATATGAAGCATCATTGAACGGACCAGTTTGATGTGGCATCAGGTCAATTATAAGAACATAACAGTCTCCATTAATCCACAAAAACTTTATTATTTCTAAGGGGAAAGTCTGTTCCAGATGTAAAAAGAAGAGAAACAATTAGGAACACTTATTCAATAGCACGTACTAAGGTCTTATTATGCTCTATTGAGGATCCGTGCTCAACCTCACTCAAATCTCAACAATCATGGAAGTTTCTAGCACTTGATTGCTCAGGTCAGAATGCTTTCATTTTAATTTTGCCTCTGTCACCTACAAGCTGCATGATTTGGGACATCTTATTAAATGTCTCTGCATATCTTTATTCTTATTAGTAAATAGAATACTAGAATTCCTTAGAGAAATAAAATTGAAAAATAAGAAACAATAATTGAGAAATGCTTAGAACAGTACCTGCACAGAGTAAGCATTTATAAAACTGTTAGCTAATATTATTTAAAAATGTAAACCTCATTATCTAAGACAAAAGGCAAAGACATTTATAGAGAATTAAAAGGTCTTTGTCCTAAAACTAATTAAGTTCTTGTTTTTATCCATAGAAGTCATTCTTGTCATATTCTGTGTAATCGTTCTACAGTTTCCATTCTTACAAACCAAACAAAGAGCCTTGGAAGTAAATCCAAGTAAGTGATTTAGAATGGACTTTACCCCCCCCCCAAAACAAACAAACAAACAAAAAAAAACAGAAGAAAAATTATGCTAAAGTACTGGTAAATAACAAAAATTAAAACAATGTATCAAAAAGTATCAATAAGAAATTCAGGGATAGTCTAAATTAAGATGAGGGATGACTGAAGCAGAGATGGTTACATATCCCAATATCCATTCTACTATTCTTTCAAAATAACTGGACAGGTATTTAGTAAACAGCCATGCAGAAAGGGCTACATTCCTAGCTTCTCTGTTCCTAAGTGTGAATACCAGTTAGGTTGTGGTCAGTGGGATGTAATTATCACATGGAAGTTAGCAAAGACAATCTTGAAGAGAGAAATGGGACAGGCTTTTACTTCCATATTTTATTTAAAAAAATTTTTAAAGATATTTTTCCATAGGGCACATGCACCTGCTGGAGAAAGACAGAAAGAGACAGACAAAAAGAAAGTAAGAAATCACCCTCCAGGAGGATGGCTATGGTGCAATCCTTTGCTTCCATTCTCCTTCTAGAATTTTGGGTATAGATGCACATGTGTCCAGCATTATTTTCAAGTTGCTGGGTCTAGGACTTGAACCATGGTTGGCCATGTGGGAATCCAGTACCTTAACCACTTCATTTTCCATCTTTTTCTATCCTTCCTCTGTCCTCCAACAAGATTAAGGATGTTCGCTCGCTCATGAGGATAAGGGCTCATTCAGGCCACTGTGGATGGCTGTGCTGATAGTGCGATCACAGCTGTGCCTGGGTCATACCAACACGAGGGAGAGGGGCACGAAAAATGATGCAGCCACAGTCCCTGCCTCTTGGGGAGCCACAGTATCAGCTTTGGATCAGCGATCTCCACTCAGTTTATGAGAAAATAAAAGTCTGCATGATTAAGCTGTTGTTAACTCGGGTTTTGTGTTGTGAGTACCAAACTTAATTCTGAAGTATACAGCCAGAAATGTCTGTTGTCTCCGTCTGTATTTGCACCAAAATAGAACAATAAGTACATGTATGTTAAGGCAGCTCTGGAACTCAGAACATAGTCAGTGTACATATTTCTACAAAGAGAAGTGTTGTCCAGACCCAAAATGAAACTTGAGTAATGGAATTGCAAATAGCAGCTATAATTAGGAAGTAGGGTATAGGTGTTTTGTGGGGGGGGGGGGGGGGGGGGGGAGAGGAGTGAGGGAGGGTGTCAGTATGAAATACATTATCCATAAAAGGAATAAATTAAACACAATTTTCCCCTTTTCATTATACTTTCTTAAAAATTGTTGATGATCGTATATTTGTCATATTTTCTTTCTTCTTTCTCCCTCTCTTTTTTTTCTTTCTTTCTTTTTTTTTTTTTTTTTTTTTTTTGAGAGGTTTTTGCTATAGGGCACATGTTCTCACCATAAAGACAGAGCGAGACAGAGAGATAGAAAGTAAGAAATCACTCCCCAGCAGGGATGGCCATGCCGCAATCCCTTCTCCTCCATTCTCCTCTTGGGATCTTGGGCACGCATGTACACGCGCTCGGCGTGACTGGGTCTGGGACTTGAACCACAGCGGCTACATGGGAGTTCAGCGGCATAGCCATTATACTAACTGCTGGTCCCTCTTTTTCAACTGCCAGAGGCCAAGTGTACTCCCAGAGAGAGGGGCAGCAAGAAAGCATTTCTGCAATGGGACATGTCAAGTTGTACCTTCTCCTCCATCTCTCTGTCCTGTAGGGATTTGGGGGCATGTACATATGCACGGGCCTGGCACACTTTTCAAGCTGCTGGGGCTGGGATTTGAACTGTATTCAGTCATGTGGGATCCACCTCCCTTAAACACTAGGCTGCAAGAGCAGCTTCATGTACTGCTTTTATAACAACAAAATGAGCTTAAGTGCACAGATCCACGTGATGTAATCATTGAAAGCATAATTTTTGAGAATCCACTTACTTTCCCATAGAAATGTTATCTACGTTTTATCCTGTGTTTAACCCTTCAAAGCAAGCCATTCCCTGCCTTCAGTCACACTGATCACACTCGAGTGTTTTGTCTGCCCAATCCGCACCCTAGTGATGAAAACTAGGTTCCCTCCACATAAAAGTACTCTATGGCTTAATCTGGAATAAGTGAGCATTGTAATAAATGATCAAAGGAAGGGAGAAAATAGGCTCAGCTAAGATGGGTAAAATGGAATACTGTAAATATTTATTGATCATAAAAAAACTGTATTTTCCTTCCTTACAAACAGAAAAAATTGATATATTATGTTGTTAGATTTGTTCATAAAGATATAGAGATTAACATGTAAACATATTTCTAAAAGCCTTTTGCACCCTTTAAAGCACTGTAATAGTATTATTGGTTTTCCAAGCAGTATCCTGAGGAATTAAACTATTGTGTTCAATAAAAAGGGAAACGACGTTCCAACACTATTTTTCTAGTTTCAGGAGTTTTCTAGGTTCCATATTTAAACACAATTTTTCTAAATGACAAGAATTTGTAACAGGATTTCTTTATCTCTTTCCTTTTTCTTTTTAATAGGAAGGAGTGTTTTATGAATCTTTGTTCTGATTTATTGTATTGTAGGCAAACCCTCCAGAGCAAAGGGACCAGAAGCAGAATTGATGCGAACACACAGACTAGCATCTAAAGAAGAAACAACTTCATTTCCTACCTTCAATAGGTTTTGGTACAAAATGTGATGAGGGCTTGGTTTTTTTCACTCTGTTTCCCTTCATAATTTGACCTTCTTTATTGAGTCCCAAAAACCACGCTCGGCCCGATTCTTGCTGGCGGTACAGTGTGGAAGAGTAGATCACGTAGTAGTTCTCGAACACGGATTCCTTAAACTTGCATTCTGGAGTGAAGACATCCTGAAGAAGAAAAGAAGATACAGAAAGAAAAGAATTTTCAAATTAACCAGTAAATGCTTAAATCCAAGAAGCCTGAAGTGCATGTCTTCCGTACAAAGGAGAGAGAACAGCACATAATTTCATTAGCACTGAGTTATAAAGATTCTTCATGGGGAGTCAAGATACAGGACTTCCTGTCTAACCACCCTTTATCCCAGAGAACACAACTGTTCAGGCTCCAGTCATTCACTAGGGCTAAAGTTTGTTTATTTAAGACTCTGGCTAAGTCTGAACTCTGACCTCAGTATAATGTTTTACAAATTGAAGTCATTGGCCATTCTTCATCTATTGGCCATTAGAATGTAACCAAGGCATTACCATCTATTCCTGGGGATTAAAATCAAACGTACCCACAGCAAACACACGCTCACCAGATGTTTTTGAAGGGAACTATTCTATATGTATAAAAATCTTATTGACATAGCGAGAGCTAGTTCTGTAAAATCATCAGTACTTTGCCCAATGCCAGTAACAGTCCCTTTAATTGCTTAAAAATGTATTTTTTTATTGTTATCAAATATCAGATAAAAAATCCAAAGATAAGTAGTAGAAAACAATATTAATTACACTGACAAATCCTCAGTGAAGCATAGAATCAAAAAGTTTTAGTCCAAGAAAGAAATTTAAGATCCTCTACTTCAGCTCCAGCAATTGATAAGTAGAAAAACCAAGACATCATTTCATTAACTCAAAAATACATTTAAGACATTGCTGTCAATGCCAGAATTCCAGTTTACTGCCTTATAACCACTGCCCTGCAAAAGCTCACTTTTCTGCCTGAGTCTTGTTTATAGTGATTTACAATGGGATTTTGTAATCAATGTAATAAAATCATATTCTAACATGTCTACTAAAAAGAAGAAATTGCTCCCCTTCTGAGAAAAGCAGTAAAAAAAAAAAGTGACAATATCTCCATCAGCTATAAGTAAATAAGACTAAGTAAAGTACTCTACTTATTTGTGAGTTAATCAAATACTTTACTTATTCTTATTTACTATAGGATCCTTTATCTCAAACACAGCCACAGCAATCACTGTCTTCCTCACTATGTACAGGAAGAATTTCAATCCGAGGCCCCATGATTCAGTACAATCACCTAGAATTAAGTTACTGATGAAAATACAGGGATAAAGCTAGTCAAAACCGTATTGTTGCGGATGATCCTCCCAGTCTAATCTCCAGGCACAATTCACAAAGCTAAGTGATCCGTAGATTGGGGATTGCTGAAGGCCTTTGATGTTAAAGACACTGTGATAGAGGACTCTTGATTTTAAATGGTTCTAACATTATTGACCAAAAATGAGATGAAGAAAATGATCTCATAGAAGTAGAGAGAGAGATACAGTATGACTACTAGAGATGGAGAAGGATGGAGTCGGGGAGATGCAGGGAAGTTGGTCAATGGAGACAGTATTACAGTTAGCTATGAGGAGCAAAGTCTAGTGCTGTACAATACAGCAGGAAGAATAAAATTAGCACCGGCCCATGGATATTTGAGAGTAGCTTAAAATAAGGATTTTCAGGGTTTCCAGTGTAAGTTATGGCAAGTGGCTGAGATGTACACTAATTACCCTGACTTAATTACTACACATTGTAATAGTATACGAAAAAAAATCACATTACACCCATACAAATATGAATAATCATGCATCGATTAGTGGTTTTAGGCATTAAAACAATAGTAATCATTTAATATTTTTATATTAATACTAAATATATTGGGGCCAGCAGTACAATCATAGTGCAATGGCTGTGTTGCTGGACTCCCCTGTAGTCGACTGTGGTTTGAGTCCCGGACCCGGTGGCTTAAACTCATGTTGGGCACATATGCGTGCGTGCCCAAGATCCCGAGAGGAGAATGGAGGAGAAGGGATTGCGGCGTGACCATCCCCTCGGGGGTTGATTTCTCGCTTTCTGTCTCTCTGTCTCTGTCAGTCCGGCGAGCGCACGTGCCCTATAGCGAAAACCTCTCCAAAAAAAAGAAAAAGGTCACCTGTTGTATGATTTCCTTATATGCCTCATCCAGAATAAGTAAACTCAGAGACAAAAAGCAGGTAGTAGTTGTCAAGTGCTGAGGGTGAAGGTGTGTCACGGCTGGGGGGGGGGCAACTAGAGAGTGATTGCTTTTATTACAGATAACATATTCCAGGATTGGGCAGTGGTGATATTTGTACAACTTTTTGAATATACTAAAAGCCACTGAGGCATACACTTCAAAATATGAATTTTATGGCACTTAAATTATATCTCAGTTTTAAAAAATCAGATAAATAGCATAACTAGAGAAGTGAGGGAAAATAAACAAACAAAAAAACACTGCCAGGGTCGGGGTCAGGGCCAGGGCCAGCCTATAGCCTATTGGTGAAGGGAGCCAGATCCTACATGGTTGACTACAGTTCAAGTCCCAGCCTCAGAGGCTTGAAAAACATTCCAGGTACATGTGTGTACATTCCCCAAATCCTAATAGGATGGAGGAATTAGGATGGGGTTGCTCTATCCTGCACCACTGGAGGGTACACCTTCCTTCTCACTCTCTTTCTCTCTGTTTCTATCTCTCTGGCTAGCATGTACCCTGTGCAATTAAAAAGGAAGGAAAGAAGGAGAAAAGGAAAGAAGGAAGGAGGAAGGGCAGAAAGAACAATGCCCTGTCTGAGCACAGGACTAAATGACGGATCTGTGTGGTGGAACATAGACCCTTCCATGCACTTGTCTCAATATTGCTAGGATGTAATTTAATGACTGCCATGTAAGGGATCACAGCAATTCAGACTGAATTTTGTAATGTAATTTTAAATTCTGCTTTTCTTTCAGTATTAGGCTAAAGGATTAAGAAAATGCTTAGGTTTTGGTGTGGGGTTTATTAATTTTCTTTTATAAACAAACTAATCAAAATAAATCACAAAGCTTTTGTTTCTAGCTCTAACCCGATACTAATAAACATGATATTATCCCTTGATACCACAAGACTCTTAAAGTTCAAAAAATAAGTACTATGTATAAGATTTTGGACTTTATAATAGGAGATAGGGAAAACAGGTAAGATAAGGAGTTGCATATAAATACATGTATTGTCATATATGCAGAGAGCAATACAGCCTACTTACTTTTGAGTATACATCACAGAAACATGTAAATGTGGATATATATATATATATAAAGCTGCTTAGTGAGAGTTGAACTTGGCACCTTTATTTAACAGGGTGATGAAACTCATGATGGTAAAATAAATGTCCTCAGTGTCATAGAAAGTTAGAGGCAGACCCAGGCTCTGAGCTAGAGCAAAGGGCTGCTGGCTGTTGGTTCAGTACCTCACACATTGCCTTCCTACTGCAAAGCCAAGCCTGCTTTCACACCAAGCTGTTGATGTGAGCAACCTGTAGTCATTACCATAAAAACCACATTCAGCCATATGCGATACTACACTGTCTTTTATACACGAGGAAAATAACACTTCCATATAAATAATAAGCTCCAGATCTCTGTTTTAATTTCACAATTATTTAAAGACTCCTATGGAACAGCGCAAGTCCAGGGTGTGGTGCAGGAGCTGAAATCCTGGGGCCCTGAGCCAGGAAACGGTCTTGATCTATTGAAATGACATGTGAAGGATCCATACACAGCATCCAGGTTGGGATCAGAAATGAAAAGCCACATGAAGTATGCCCTTTAATATCAATTCAAAGGGCCTATGTAGGGCAGGCCCCTGGGCCTAGTAGTTAAAGAAACTGGATCTTATATAGGCAACTGCAGTTCAAATCCCATTTCTAGAGGCCTGAACAACAGGTTGACTAGATGTCCAAAATCCCAACAGGATGGAGATGGAGCAAAAGGGACTGTGGTGAGACCATACTATACTCTTGTCTCTGTCTCTCTCTGGTGAGGGCACATCTTCTCTGGCAATTAAAAGACAATCAAGGCCTTGGGTCCGGCAGGTGATATGGTGGCTGGATCCCACAGAGCCAACTGAGCAGGTAGAGTCCCCAGACCCATGGCTTCAAAAACATGTCAGGCATGTGACTTGAGTGTGCAAAAAATTCTGAGAAAAGAATGGTAAAGGCATTATTGCATGGCCTTCCCCGCCCCCAGAGGGTGATTTCTTACTTTCCCTCTCTCTCACCTCCCTTTCTCTCTCTCTCTGGTGAGCACCTGAGTCCTGTAGCAAACAAACAAACAAAACAACAACAACAACAAAAGTCAAGAGCCCATCCTAAATTAGAATTCAGAAATAAAGCATCTAGTAATAGCTGAGCAGAGCGAGACATTCAACGGGAAAACATGGCAGGGTCTTAGAGTAGGCATTTCTATGGGCATAGGCAGCTGCCCTAGCAAACTGAAAGGGAAACCTTAAGGGAACTGTCACAACGTGGATAATTAAAATCACCCTAAATGCAACTTTTACAATTGCTATTGTCAGTTTTTGTGTTCATAATGAGAAATCAGAGCTCTAGACTCAGAGTAAGAGTTTCCATATATACTAGCTGTGGGACTTTAGGTAAAACTCTTTGAATGTTACATTTTTCAACTGTAAATTATTTTAAGAAAATAAGATGTATTGGAAGTATATTATAAACTTAAAATTTACAACATCCCCAACTCATTACTCAGTCATTATTATAAGAAATATTCTTTTTTTTTTTTTGAAAGTTTATTAAATGGCACATGGGCTCATAGGAGAGAAGCACAGAGAGAGAAAGAAAAAGTGAGAAAGCATCCCTTTTGGAAGACAATCATGCTGCAATCCTTTCTCTTCCATTTCTCCTTTTGGGATTTTGGGTATGAATGCACACATGCCTGCAGTATTTTTCAATGTGGGGTCTGGAACTCTAATGCGGCCGCCATGTGGGATCCAGCTGCTTTAACCACCATGCTACTAGCTGGCCTGAAGTTTTCTTCTTATAGCAAGAAAAATATATAATTAATCATGTAACAAGACACTTAGTTTTCTGCTTTTGGCACTCATG